ACAATATTCAAATTCATTTTTTATTCAGCAACTTAGTTACAAATTAATATCAACAAGGTAATTATATAGTAATTTACAGCCCATATAACTAATAATTTTAACAATATAGAGTTGTCTAGGTAGCTGAGAGGAACCGGGACGGTTTTCGAGCCCAGCACCCTAAATAGTGTAATCTAATAATAGTAACAATGAGAAAACAACAAGTATATTTCGAATGGTAAACTAATTACTGAATGTTACAAGTTATTCATTTATTTGAAATCTATATCAAAACAAGAACAGAACGGTATGATAAGGGGTAATATAGAGAAAGTGAATAATCAAAATCTACTGAGAATACTCCTACTTTTGGATCCTATTTTTAGTTATCCTGTAAGACGAGATCACGCGATAGGTTTAAAACTTCTAGTGAAGCTGTTTATACATCCAACGTTTGCTGCATATTATCAGATAAGGGTCAGGTTATAGAGCAAATAAGAAACACCGCAATGCGACGAGAATGAACAACAATAAATACACGTAATTAATTAGTGAAAGCTAATATTTCGCCCTGGCATACGGGGCTTTACAGAGCAAAAGTAAACGGACTAAAAATGTACATATTTAAAAGAGGCGATGGTGGTGTCGGATAGGCTGATGTGGAATTGTGTGAATGCAGCGCAGTGGTAGAGGAGGGAAGGGTGGCGAATGAGAGAGGGTGGGTGGTAATGGTGGAGTGAAAATGTAATGAGGATGAAGTACTATAATATGAAATAATGATAATGTTGCTGTAAGGTTAATGGTCAGTGGTTCTGTTCATGCCAATCGGTGCGAGAGTGATTGCCAGGCCAATGAGGTATTGCTCTTTGGCTCGTCGAACACTCTATCGTTTGTCGTTGAGTTGCAGTAATAGTAAGGTCATTGATGGTATGTTCTGGGCTGCAGAAGTGTTCTGCAACACCAGATTTGTCTACTTTTTTGTTGATAATGTCTCGTCTGTGTTCGTTAAATCTGTCTTTCAGTCGTCTGCTTGTTTGTCCGATGTATTGGCAGTTCTTGTGTCCGTTTGTTTTATGTCGTAGTTTTTGTCAGTGTTAGTAAAGTTAAAAGTAGTAGTACCGTCAATGATACGGTGGCATCAGTGGCGTAGCGTCTGGGTATTCAAGGTATTTAGTGAATACCCTGAGATTTCTCAGAAAAAAATATTAATACGACGTAAAATTGTAATAGCTAGAAAATATTTTGGGGCTATTGATTCTGGTTGAATTCGTTACCTTCGATATTCTACTTTTTGTACAAGCACAAAATATCACGAAATTTATGGAAAAAATAACGCTGTGACACATAGAGAAGCTGGGAGATCTTTAAAGCTAATTTTGAAGACTGAGCTACTTCATGTTGAATGGAGGTCGCAGTGAATACCCTACACGGTACTTTAACCAATCAAAATGCTCCTTTTCATGAATAATATTTGCCGTTAAATGGTCCTGTACGCTGAGAAATATGCAGCGTACAGCCTCAAAGTTGGTTCAAAATAGTCTCGTTTTGAGATCGATGTAAACAGTTAATGGACATAGGAGCGGTAGGAGTGATTGATCTTCATGGAAAACAGTAAACATGACTTCATTCAAAAGCTATTGCAATGTCCGTATTACTGTTTTAAAAACATTCTCTCGTTTGACCCCTAATCTTTATCTAACAACAGCAAAGTGGAAAGGAAAGGTAGGCTTCTACATAATACCACACTGACTAAGATCTGTGCCCCCTCTTGAAATGCCAATTTTGTTATTGCTTGTCATAGCTCAATTCTAACATAAGACTGAAATCAACAGCATTTAAAAGGCTTTTCAAACGTTGGCTCGGGTCTCGTGGGTAAATGCGTCACTGCTTGAAAAACAAAATTTCACTGTTAAAAAACATAATATCTATTAATATTGTCCTATTTGATAAATTTTATTCACAATTGTAATTCAAATCAGAGTTTTTTGATTGCTATGTTTGCTTTGATAATAATTTGACAAAGTAGCAATTCGGCAAATACTCCTATTTCCAGATAGGTTAGTGCTGTACTACTTCACCGAACTATTATTGCAAGCATATGTATTTTAGTATATATGTCTAATACTCACCTTTAGTTCCAGATAGAAAACTTTGAATTTAGGGAAAATTGGGGAGGGAAGAGGTCGTGCTAAATCTCTAGTGACAGACGTTGGGAAAAGAAATAATGGGTGACATCGAGTTT